GTGTAACCATATTTCTTCGTCGTGGCCTCTGTGCATCACACATATGGGTGCTGCGTCTGTGCAGTGCCTTTGGCCGGAAGATTGCAAGCTAACAGTTTTTGGCGGGAAAGCTCTGCTCCCCCTCCCCCATGGCCTATAAAGAGCGGAGCGTCCACCATTTTGTTCAGTCTTTGTGACCGCCATTCTTTGTGCCTCGTGCCGCTTTCAACTTTTGCTTAGAGCTGTTACTTTGCTCTCAATTGTCCTTCTTTCCCAGTTTTTTCTTCTAAAAGAAAAAAACAAAAAAAACCTTGCTCCCAGTTCATTGTTCCTCATAGTTTTTCTCTTGTTATTTCTACTTTCGATCTATCTATCTAAAAACAAAAAACAAAAATATATACTTACCCTCTGCACTATCCCTCTCTTCTTCTTGTTCTTCTTCTTCTTGTTCTTCTTCTTCTTCTTCTTCTGCAATGGCGCAGCGAGCGGCTTTCTGCAAATGTGCGGACTGTGGGTCGAAAATGGCACCAACTGACCCGCATGACCTATGCCTCCTCTGCCTGGGAGAGGGGCATAGAGCAGATAAATGCGTGCATTGCCTGGCCTTCTCCAAGCAGGCCAGGAAGAACCGCGAAAACCGTCTCCGGAGACTCCTTTGGGATCGGGCTCTGATGCAATCGGACCCGCTTGTTGCCATCCCAAAACCTGGCTCCGCTTCTGTAGCCCCACACTCACGGCCTTTGGATGAAGGTGCGTCTGCTTCGGTGGCTCCCTCTGCTTCACCTAAAAAGAAGCATAGAAAGCGGAAGCATGCCGAATCCGAGAAGTCGGCAGGCCATAAAAAGGCCAAGAAGGAGAAGGTCTCCAAGCCTCCCAAGAAAACCAGGAATTCGGACCGTCCAGACCGTCCCTGACATCGGAACTCGGATCCGATGGGCCCCTCGGTACCGGTGGCGCTTACGGTACCGACTCCGCCCGAACCGGTCCTCCAGGAGGCTATGCGGGTTACCCCTCAAGGGCCTCCCCGCCGTGTGGTTGACCTCCCGCCTGCACCCCTTCCAACTCTGTGGGGTTCAATGTCTGATGGGGAAATCCAGGACTCCCCTCCTAGGGCGAGGTCACCGACACCCATGCCTGCAGTCACAATGGAAGCAGACGTTGGACTGTCCCCACCGGGAAGCCGGAGGAGCCGCTCTGTAGAGCAACGTCCGGAGAGCTGGCGTTGCCCCTACTACCATACTTGGGATGAAACCTAACAGCTTGGCGAATTCGATGATTGACGTTCCATCGGTGCCGGCAACGGTTTCGAAAGTTACGAATCCGACAGCTTCTACTAATCCGTTGGTTCCGACAATGACTTTGACCACCTCGGATCCGATTGTTGAACCAAATCACTTGGCTGCTTCCCCCCTCTCTGGTCTCTCTGTAGTATCTGGTTTGAGACAAGACCCGTCGAATCCGAATTTGACATTTTTGCACCCTGATATTCAGCATATGATCGACTCTGCCTTAAAGCCGTCCACAAGGAAGTCATATAAGGCTAAATGGAAACGTTTTTCTGCCTTTGCCAAGTCGCGTTCGTTCTCTCCATTCCTCTCATCCATTCAACAGATTCTTCAGTTCCTCCTGGAATTGCACCATTCCAGACTGAAGCCGTCGTCCATTAAAGTGTATACAGCCGCAATAGCCTACTACCGTGGCTTAGTCGATGGATCACCTCTGTTTTCTCATCCTATCCTCAAAAGATTTTTGAAGGGACTATATAATCTTAACCCATCAATTAGACCGGTTATGCCCACATGGAGCCTTTCTGTAGTTCTACAGGCCCTTATGAAGGCCCCCTTCGAACCTTTGGCGACTGTGGATCTTCAATTGGTCTCTTGGAAGACGGCATTTCTTGTAGCTGTCACTTCAGCCTGGAGGGCCAGTGAACTTTGTGCTCTTCGCATAGACCCTCCTTATTTAAACTTTCACAGGGAGAAGGTCGTTTTATGCCTTGACCCGTCTTTTTTGCCTAAAGTGTCTACACCTTTCCATACGGGACAAGACATTGTGCTGCCTGCCTTTTTCCCGTCACCGTCGACTCCATTGGAAAGATCTTTGCATTCACTTAATGTTTGCCGTTGCTTAGCCTTCTACCGATCGCAAACGGAGTCTATTCGACGATCCAGTAAACTATTCATCAAATATTCTGCTAGGGATCAGGGCGATCCAGTCACTCCGCAGAGACTTTCTAAGTGGATAGTCCACACTATAGTCTTATGCTATCAATTAGCTAAGCTCGAACTGCCTTCAGTTCCTCGAGGCCATTCTGCTAGAGCTGTCGCAACCTTGTCTGCATTTGCATCTGGGGTCCCGATTGATGACGTCTGCCGAGCCGCTACTTGGGCGAACCCTTGCACCTTCGCCAGGCACTACCGTCTCGATGTTCGAGCTCGACGGGATTGCTCCTTCGGTAGAGCTGTTCTCTCCTCCATTCTTCAATGAGGACACCTTCCCTCCTCCTTTATGGCAAACTTGTTAATCTACCCATATGTGTGATGCACAGAGGCCACGACGAAGAAAAGCAGGTTGCTTACTTGTAACTGATGTTCTTCGAGTTGCCATCTGTGCAGTCACACAACCCACCCGCCGGTCCCGCTCGGTGTCGGTGACAGGACACATTCATCGGTACCGAAAGTTTCCCATTTTTTCTTGGTACCGATCCCTTTTTCCTGTCTCATACTGAAATTTTTTCCACAAGGGGGCGCACGTTCGGTCGTCAAAGACGGAACAAAATGGCGGATGCTCCGCTCTTTATAGGCCATGGGGGAGGGGGAGAGGAGCTTTCCCGCCAAGAACTGTTAGCTTGCAATCTTCCGGCCAAAGGCACTGCGCAGGTGCAGCACCCATATGTGTGACTGCACAGATGGCCACTTGAAGAACATCAGTTACAGGTAAGCAACCTACTTTTCTTGCAAAGAGGTAGGGCATGTTTTACTAAATAGCATAAAAGAAAAAAAGGCAGCTGAGCTCTGAATTGTGGTAACAAACTTCAGGCACATTTGGCAATTAGAGAAATAGTCCTGGGTGCTATCACAAAATGGCTGTCATCATGATATACCTAGTCACAAAAGACAAGTAACATCCCCAAAGAACTGAGTACAGAGTGATGGTGTCTGAGCCCCAACGCACTAACAACTCCTTTGAAGCCATAGTCTTCAGTAGAAACTGGTTTTCCAGCAGGCAGAGTCTCTCATCTTCTGGCAGCCAGCTCATTCTTCCATCTTTTTTTTTTTTTTTTGCCTATTTCTCCTGAACATTACCCAAAGTGGGAAAAGCAAGGAAACCTGGCAGGAGTCAAGAATGGTATCCAGGAGGTGCACTGGGTGCCTGCCCTTGCTGTAGCTCCCTTTTTTGTACACAGATCAAAAGATTTTAAAATACTAATGTCAATGGAAATACATTTTTTAATCTAAACATTGTTGAAATGGACGTAACTATTTTTCACTTGAAATGTAGACTAATAGTATTTGGTACTCTGACATACCACTTCAAAGAAGTAATAGTAAGACCAAAGCTACCATACTTGACAATGTGGTCCTGATTCTATTAGTTACCCTTGATATTCCAATTTAGCCCAGGGGTTCCTTTCAATTACTTTTACATTTGCAGTGTTGATAGTTTGACTTATGTTGTTCTGCACTGCCTGGCC